CGTCACTGTGGTTTCCAAATTCCCTGTGTCCACAGTGTGTAAGAGGCCCCTTCTCTAAACTTTCTCCAAGTACCTAATGAGAGCAGACTATCATTTTCCTGTGAGAATTTGATTGATAAATCTTACGGTACCCAGTTCTCTATCAGAGCATTTTTACTGTTGTTGATGGTTTTTCATTCCCTCTAGTGCTTGTTTCCTGACACCAGAAAAATCTGTCTTTACCCTTCCATGCTGTGACATTTGCAGTAAGTAGATGAAAGGTTCTGTCTTGCTAAAATAATAGAGACACTTCAAAGTTAGATGGGTGACTGTCAGTCACTCACAAGGATTGCAGACAACCCAAATCCAAATTATTAGAATTTTTATTTGTCCTTTGTTTTTCTGTGAACATGACTGAGAGTATGTACCATATCAGTGACTTTTCGGGAGATGGATTAGAGATTAAGTCTGGAAAATTTATGATTCTAAATACTCACTCATACTAAGATTCATCACCAGTATTCAGAATGCAGTAAAAGCAACACAGAAGAAAAATCCTCTCCTGAGAAAACATGTGTCAAATGACAAAGTGAGACCAAAGTACTCTTTGCCATCATGCAGTTCTTATGTTCAAAAGTACTTCCTTGTAAGTGACTTATCTGTGTGATAGTATGTCTAAAGAGCAAAGTATTCCTGCCCTCTCCTTTTTCATTTCAGAGTCGTTTAAAAGATATTTTCCCCCAGAGATATGCAGAAATATTCTTAATATAATTAACCTGTGTTCAGGCCATTTGAATGTGCAGCTTATGTAAGCTGATTTCTTTTCTCCCAACCTTAGATTCTTTTTTGGAAGGTAAGACATACCCAGAGAAAAAACGAGTAAATAAAATAAATCATTATCTCTTCACTTGACAATCGAAATATTGCTCACTCACTTCTTTTAACATATTTTATATTCCAGTTTTCTCTGAATGTGGTTCTATTTCAGTGCTGAAGACTGTGGAATTTCCAGTGTTTAATGTGTGCATGATCCCTGTTGTTGAAATATGTGATAGTCATGACTCATGATGGGGAATTTACACTAGGATTTTTAGAGGAAGACCTGAGGAAAGATTTAGGGTATGAAGTCTACTGTGAAGGATGTGTAGGATGTGTCCATGTGGGTGATGGGTATGATGGTCATGCTTCTATTCAGAAACAGGAAAGTTCAGGGTGACAGGTAAGATTTTCAGGGGAAGGATACAGTCAGGAGCAACAGTGTTCAGTTAGGTTTGTGACAAGTTCAATATCAGATGTCAAAGTTAGGGTCCAATGTAAATGACGTAAATGACGTAAAAGTTAATGGGTCAGAAGGCTATATGAAAGGCTCGGGGTAACATAAATATCTCCCTTAATATCAGTTGAATCTTTACTAATTGCCAATACCCCGCAGTCCAAAACTCTATGCTAGAAGATCCATATAGGATGCCCAAAGGAAGAAGCAAGAACCAGTTTTGTGAGGTTTAGTCCTTCAACTAGTTTGATAGATATTTGAAGGGGTCAAGAGGAAAGGACCTTTTCTGTTAGGTTTTAGCATTTAAGTAATCTCTACACCCAACATGGGGCTCCAACTCATGACCATGAGATCAAGGGTCACATGCTCTTCCAAATGATCCAGCCAGGCATCCCAAGAGGAAAGGGCTTTTTAAACTAGAACATTTAATTTATAGGGACAATGACAAATTAGTATTGCTCACTTCTTGGAGTCCATCTGTGGCAGAATCGTCTCCCCAGGGCAGAAGGTGGCCCAGGTGTAACCGTGTGACTATGTAAGGGAGGCCCCACTGGGAGTCGTCTCTCTGTGTCATGTCCAGAGAGATGGAGGTTCTCTCTCTCCTGAAACCTAGTGAGGCGGCCTCTGGAGTTTGATACTGCCAGAGGGGTGTGGGCGGTGTACATTAAGAGACTTGTTGTGTGTCCTTCGGAGTTTGGCTTTGCTGCCTGGTGGTCATGGGATACATGAAGGCTGTTGCTTTGCTCTGTGGAGGGAGCAGAGTACACATGGTGGTGGAGGTCTTGGACACAGTCAGAACTTTCACTAACAGGGGGGCAAAAGTATGTGTTCTTCATATATCAAATGGGGCCACATG